ATATTACTTATATAAATAAAGTTATATTTAAGTTTTATATAAAATAATTTTAATTCTCTTAATAATAGTAGATAATTTATTTCCTTTTTTTATTAAAAGGGAAAAATAAAAAAAGGCCGAGAGGATTAAGTCTGCCGGTTGCTATATTTACTTGACTGTTTCTTTGTACTAGAGCCACGTGGTTACTGCTCAGGTTTTTCTCACGTTATGGGTGTAAATCATCTAGGCAAACAAGTATTCCGGCTGTGAACTCGTTTGCAATATTATTATTGGTTTACCAAGTAGTTTCTCACCCCCCACTTTCATTGTTGATATCCCGACCTGTGGTAACATGAAGGAAGAGGCCTTTGCCCTTATCCTTGCCCTTGACATTGGGGGAACTTTATGCACTTGACCGTGTTGCAAAAAAGTCCAAGTTGATTACCTTTTTGGCTCTGAAAGCCAGCAACTCTCAGCGCCCCTTACTCTTACCGCATGAAAGGTCTTGTATTTCGAAAAGCTCTGCAGTTGCTGATTGATACTGACGGCGGATCATTCAGGTTTTGAGATTTTGCCCCAACAACAACAACACCACCATTATCAGCATGTCCTCAGATAAGCAGATGACCAACGCAGCCGACAACGACGTTATCGAGCAGCCCGGTAGTAGCCGCCAAGTACGTTACACGGCCGCTGACGGCTCGCAGTACGCTACCACGACCGATGATATCGCAGGCGCAGAAAGGGACGTGGCTCTGCCGTCCAGGGCGCCAACAGCCGATAAATGGTCGGTGCAATACCATAACATGTCACGGATAGTTTCTCGCGGGAAACTTCCGCCGAGGCTCATCCCGGCAACGCCCATGATTCCGTTTGGGCCCCCGTCCGCGCGCTGGGCTCAGCCGCAGGAGCAAGTCCCGGGACCTCAAGAGGCTGCACGACGGCCGGGTCCGGGACCTCTTCAAGGTCCAGGGCCGGCTCCGCAGCCGCCTCAGACGCAGAACGCTCAGAGGCCTCAGCAGAAGCGCGCCAGAGGACGCCGTTCACGCGGCGCCAATCGTGGCGGCGTGCAGAAATCTGGTCAGCAGGGGACATCGTCTTCCATGTCTGCTAGCGAACTCATGGCCAGAATCGACCGGGACCCGGAGCTCCTCAGACAGGTGGAGGAGCTCGCGTTGCGAAAGGAACAGGAGACCTCTCGGGCAGCCGTAGAGAGGGCCAAAAGGGCAGCTATTTGCGGCAATTGCCTCAAGGTTGGGCACACAGTCCGGGACTGTGCTCAACCGGCCGATGACGGCTATGTCCACGGCTGTCCTATTTGTAACGGGTCTGATCATGAATCAGCCCAGGGTTGTAAAATGCATTGGCCGCACCGCCTCGAAAGGAGGCTGTATTGGGCAATCGAGCAGCGCGCTCGGCGTCCAACTCTGGCCGCCTTTCCCAACTGGCTGGATGTCTTCACCGAGGCCCGGAACGCGGGCAATGACATGGAGGCCTTGCCACAAAGCTTCCCGTGGACGCCACTCTTCAGCCGGACCCTCATCCGGGAATATCCGGACACAAAACATCCCTGGTCCAACTTTGACTACGTGGCCAACAACTCGTCCGCGTTGCCGGTGGATCCTCTTGTGACGGACCAGGCCGCCGTCATCGCAAACGACGCGGTGATTCGCAGTCTACTCTCGCGCCCGGTCATTAGCAATACTGGTGGCAGGCCATGAGATCATGAGAACTAGGATGAGGACGAAGACGGCGAAATACTTGGAGCCATTCAAGTCCTCATTGGACTTATACATGGGTGTAATACTGTGTTCAAACTTTTGTTTCTCGTTTCTTTTCCTTTCTTTTTTTCTTTCGCTCTTTGTGGAGGTAGATGAGGGAGAGACGGAGGGGGAAGCAATAATGCAATTCACTGCTGGTGTCTTAATGTAATCTGTCAATATTCTCAAACGTCTGGTCTTAATAATGCTCGATCCTTGTGTGTCTATAAAAATTATGCGACGGCACATTTCACCGATGCGACAGCAAAATGGGTCTTGTCGGAAGGGGAAAAAATTAAAGTTCATACTTACATATCGATTATACTGGTCCGTGTTTTTTATTCTTTGCCGGAACTCGTATGGCAGACATCTAGATGTAATCACCATGTTGCATTGCAAAACCACTCAGATCCCATTCGCCGCCGTCAAATCCCAGTGACAGCTACACGACTCGGCGCATCTTGCGGAACTCCAAGCCAATCCTGGGCTCCCCTATTACGTTTTTATAACATTGATCAAAGAATTGCAAGGCACAAGGTAGGAGCCACAACCAAAGTGTATATTATATGCAATAAAACGCCAGGCCCAAACTATGTACAAATTGGCCTTAATCGCCGAATCCCTCCCACGTCTCATGCCCGCTTTGGGAGACTCGAACCTTCATTCTGATGAGAGCAAGTGCCAATGCTCCAGAATGAGGCAAGGCATGAATACATTCAATGCCCGTGGGTGACTTCAATTTCAGGGCATCGAAGCCAATGTCCTCCCAGTCGACGCAGTCTGCTTCAATCCATCGAAGACGCATTCCGCGCGCATCAATGTAAAGAAACATGTCGACTGATTCGACAACAACAACCCCGGGCGAATTTTCATCCAAGGTTGTACGGGCATACAGCCGGACAGTGTCGCACACGTGCCCTTCTTGTCCTTGGAGGAGGAGGGCCTCGACCAAGGCGCCATCGTCGCCCTTGAGCCATGCTCTCTGTGTACCAACGAACCCAGAGAGGTCAGCTCCGACTGATGGCCACCGCTCCGAGACGATGTGGAGGATCTGGCCCAACATGAGACAAATGGGCAGCTCACAGGCTGGCAGGCCACTGATGGCATCTGTAGCCAACTTGCAGAGTCCCTCCGACACACTGGCGGCTGCGGCGAGTGCAGAGACGACAGACTGGAGCAATGTGAGGGCCTCGCAGCCGGAGCCAAGAAGCTCATCGCGCCTTAGCGCGAAAAACAGCTTGATGAGTGCCTGGTCTCCGTGACAGGCATGAGGACAGGTCTTGCCCGTCTTGCCCATGTCGCCGCTCCAGACATCCAGCCAGAGCCAGCCCGTGTAGTCGGACTCTGCGGCAAGCTTCCGCGGCGAGTCATTGACGTACTGCAGAAGCGCATCCCAGTCGTCTTCGGGCTGTCCCGGGCTGTCGGTGATGCTCTCCATGACATTGATGGAGGCATCGACAAGAGACGTCTGAATAGCCGCCCTTTCTTCCTGCTCTTGGAGCCTTGTTTTGGAGGCAGCCGACTCCATGTCAAGAGAGGCCAGCTGGTCCCGAAGCCTCTTGTTTTCCTCAATGGCTTCGCGAGCTTGACGCTTCGCCGATTGAAGCTTCTCCGTGGCAGATTGGCGTTGTTCCGCCTGCAGGGAGCGCACGGCTTCGAGCTCCGTCGCCAGCTTTGCCTTGTCCTCTAGCAGCTGAGCAATCTCGCCCCGCGCATGAGTAAGATCGCCCTGAAGATCCTTTACGATCCCGATTGGAAGCTGGCTTGGCCGGTCAAGGTCCCGCAAAGCCTTCTCGAGCTTTTCAGACCACGCAGGTCCCCAATGCTGCAGCATGGCCACCGATATATTCGGATTTCTCAGGATGTGGTCAAAGGCTCTTTGTCCCACATAGTCTTCTCGGTCTCTAGCCAAGGCGCCCAAGTCGTCTAGATTCTCATCCTGGCGCAGATAATCGTCCAGTACCTGGTTCCCCTCCTCGCAGACACGTATCAACTGCTGGAGGTCGGCAGCCATGGTCTTGTTGACCACTGACCTGTCCGAGTACTCCTTGAGCTTGGCAGTAGACTGGTCGCTGTACTCGAAGACATCGGCCAAGTCGCGCTTGGCCGTGGTGTCGAGATCTTTAAAGCTGTCAACGACTTGCTTCAACTGCCTCTCCACATCCTTAATGGCCGGCATGCGAATACCGAGACCTAGATTGTGAGTCATTGCGAATGTGTCGAGTGAGTACGTGATTGCTGTCGCTGGAAAACTCGAGATTGTACAAGGTGGAAAACTTTTTAGAGTAAAAACTTTTCGAGTCCCAATATCTGCCTGCACTTTGACAACTGGCAGCTGATTTTCGTTGACGTCAATGGTGTGAGCTGACAGCTGCCAAAGTCTACACCATCTCAACCAGACTTTTCGACGAGTCTTCGTGTCTTGGCTGAAGCACTCATCAAGCCTCCCAACGAGGAATTGGATGGTCTCCGGAGTTGGCTCTAACTGAAAATCATAGTCTGAATACTGAAAATGCCAGGCTTGCCAGTGAGCTTCGCAGAGCGTGGTGAAGAGGCTCGATTGACCAGTAATTGAGGCTGCAGATTGGGATGCGAGACAGTTGGAAGCTACCAGGCTCTGCTGTCACGTCTCTAAATGTCTTTGTTTATACAAACGTTTAATGTTCGGAGACAGCGCCATGGTGTCTGATTACGATATTAAACTTCACATGGCAAAATGTCACCAAAATAAATAACTGCATTATTCGGATTAACAGCAATAACAAGATGTCAAGATGTCAATTAAATGTATACATCAAGTTACTCAACCCTTCCCCAGGCATAACCGAATCCCAATCCTCCGCTTTCACATGCCATCCTCGGCAGTTCATTCTCACATGCCCTCTTTTTTTTAAATAATGGCAGCCGAGTTTGTGAGAGAGGCGACGCAATATCCAGTGAGTGTAGCAAGTTCGTCGTCGCGGCCAATAGTGCCACTGCTCACGAGGTTGTCCAGAAAATAATAACAAGTGAATGTGCTATTATTCATGGCAGGGATAGCTACACGGCTTTGCGTACCTTGCGGAACTTCAAGCCGATCTCGGGCTCCCCCATTTCATTATCGAAATAGGTGCGCTTGACGAGAATGCAGTCCCCATGAATGGGACACTGGCCATTCTCCGGCTCGATTTCCTCGCCGTTACAGATTCCTCGGAAACAGAACCAATCTTCCCTTGGTCCCGAGTCAACCAAGCGCATTGCCAAGTAGAGGTTGTCGGGTTGCAGAGTATCTAGCAACAATTGACACACCTCCTTTGGTTCTAGGTTTTCAGCCCCAACCACGTTGAGAATGGCTAGACTGGTCAAAAGCCTATCGATTGTACTGTCCCAGAATCGCAGACTCTGGTACTTGTGCAGCCATTGTGGTTTGCCCACCTCCGTAGTCGAAGGGGGCGTCGGGCCGCCGAGCTTGCCCAGATCACTGGAAATCTGGTCAACCGCCTCCGAGGTGCCGTCAATCTGCTGCTTGATCGACGTGATAGTCTCGGAAAGCTCTCCGAGCGCCGTCTGCAAACTGTCTGGGGTTGCCGTTCCCCGCCAGTTTGTCAGCACCTCGAGGTGTTGAGCAAGACTCTCCGACATTGCAGAGACTGCCTGGCACACCTCTTGAGACGCAATCTCTCGGTCGGCGTCTTGGCTCAGGATTCTGGTCGCCAGTCTCGCAACTTCAGCGCCTTTTGGATAGTCTGAATCCATCAGCCATGCGCTCATGGCTTCGACCTTGTCGCCGAGAACCGCAATGTCCTCGTTCTGCACGAGCTTGTCTCGGGCAGAGTCGGCCTGTCGCACCGTGTCGGTCAACTCGACAAGATCGGCCTTTTCGGCCAGGTTTGTGTTTGCCAACTTGCTGTCGACACCATCAACCTTGGCGGACAGCTTTGCCAATTCCGCTGCCTGCGCCTGGCATTCTGAGTCCCGGGCTTCGTTGTTTTGCAACACGATGCTTTTCAGTTCCGCGACGTCGGACCTCTGGGAAAGGTCTGCGCGGATGGAACCGACCTTGGAAGCGAGATTCAGGAAATCAAACCTCCGCAGGCCTTGGTCCGAGGCCGTCTGACGCAGCTGGCCCAGGGCTGCGTCGTGGCAGGCAATGGCCTGCGAGACCTGTGCAGTCAGGTCTGTAATGTCACGCCTCTGCACACGATCGTGGGCTGCGTCCAGCAGCCCGCACGACTCCAGATCCGACACTGTAGCCAGACCAGAGACGACGCTGCTCACAATGGCATGGACCTGCTCTTCCGACAGCAGCGTCGACCCCTGCGGAATCTTTGCGCAGAGCTCCGAGGCCAAGTCTCGGGCAAACCCAACAAAGACGTCGTAGGTAATAAAGCCGTCTTGGTTATCGGGTGAGCCCTTGAGCTCTCCCAGAGACCTCGTCACGCGCGATGCCGTCGGAAGGCGGCGAGCAACCCTCGACAGGCCGGCGACGTCGTCTTTTAGCTGGTCGACGGCCTGCTGTCCAGCAAGACCACCCTCGACTTCAAGACGACGCCCGATGCCGTCAATGCCGTCCTTCAGCCGGTCAATAGCCTGCTGTCCAGCAAGGCCACCCTCGACATCGAGACGACGCCCGATGCCGTCCACGGAATCACCAACAGCCGAGAATTGGAGACTGACAGCTTTGTCGTGATCCTCGACCGCTTCGTGGACCAGCCCGACTTTGGTCTCGACGGCGTCGACTGCGTCATTCAGGAGAGCCAGCGTCTCCCTTTTAGACAACAACAGCTCCCCCAGCCGGTCTTGTTGGCTCGTTGCGGCCGACTGAAGACCTGACGCCGCTCCGACCAGGCTCTGCAATACAGGGAGCCCCGAGACGGCAGACTCGACGTCACTCCTTGAGGGTAAACCTCCAAGAGCTGCCCGCTGCTCGTTGAGAGTCTCTTGCAGCTTGCAGACATCTCCATTTTTGGCCACCGCCTTGTCAAGACTCTCAAGTCTCGACTTTATGGCTGAGAGCTCGGTGTCCAGCACGGTTTGGACCCTGTCGAGCTGGTCTTGACGACCAGCTACCAGCTCCCGCGATCGACGATTGACGTCGTCGCGCGTCTCCTGAAGCGAGGTTTCGCGGACAGTCAATGCTGCCCCTTGCTCCGCCAACCTCCTCTCCTTTTCGTTGAGGCGCTCTTCCTTCTCGTCGAGGCGCTTCTCGCGCTCAATCTGGCAAGGGGACGCCTCGGCATCTGCCCGACGAACCTCTGTCGCGAGTGCAATGAGGCGGCTGTCAAACTGCTTCTCCATGCGCTCCGTCAGCCTTGCCTGGATCGCCTCGGTCTCTGCCTTGACTTGGTCCTGCAGACGAGTGTCAAACGTCCTTTGGAGCCTGTCAAGTTCCGAGCGAAGCCGGGCCTTTGCACTCTCAGAGACTTGCAGCTCAGTCTCTAGGGCAGCCACTTGTTGAGCTTTGATGCCATCTTCATGATTCTTGATCATGGTTTCGGCCCGCTCACACAATCTCTTTGTCCATTGCAGGATGGTCAGTCTGGAGTTTTCCTCGACTGCTTCAACGGACAGGCCCCCGAAAAATTCCTCCATGCCCCTAATCTCCCTCCGCAGGATTTCAATTTGTTCAGTAAACGCCATGTTGGCGTATCGTTGAATGCGTTTTTTTTAAAAAAAATTAAAAAAAAAACCAGACGATAAAACTGCGGGTGGTGTGTATGTTGTGGAAAAAAATTCCAAATCTAGACGCATTTCTTGGGGGGGCTGTTCCTGACTGATGGACTCTGGGAAGGAGCGCGGGAGCTCCTTCCATTTTCGCCGACACACATGTCCCCATTGGTTGCGCGTCTGGAATCAGTTCAATTTTCGTCAAAAAGAGCTTGGAATTCATTTCATGTGTAAATAATGTGTCTGGTAAGCCTGTTTTGAGCAGACGTAAAACCTTGTATTCCCTTCCAAACTACCAGTTCTTGATCTACTTGTTCTCGCAACTCTAGTGTCAATATCGCTTCCCGCACCCATTGATAGGAACAGTTCTATTGCGGTTTGGTCACGATGATCTTCCCAGTCATGGTTCAACACACACGTCTAGAAACATGCATGCCACCTGGTCAGGACAGCCCAGTCGACTCAGTGTTGACCAATGGAGACGCAACGTCTGGCTTCTTGGGGGCACTCGTGGCTGCCGGCTGTCCGGTTGTCAACCATACCGTTATATGGTGAATGGGATGGAGTGGCATATCAGACGGTTGCCAACTTGACACCTGTCAAGCACTGTTCGACTGCTCTACTCCATCGCTGCCGAGAAATTTTCTTCCTTGGCTCGTTATCCATCTACAACACTTGAAACATCTCGAAACCAACAGCGCAGAAACAAGCTTCAAGACATCATCCAGACACCATGTCGAATGTATCCGTCGGTTCGGCCAATGCCGCGTTTGTGACGCCAGCAACGGGCGTTCTCGATGCCTACAACCGCCGAAACAACATGCATGATGCGAGCCGGGAGTTCTACAAGCTCCTTGACGATCTACAATCTCCAGCAGTGCGTGACCGCCTGAAGAGAGCCAAAATTGGTATTGCTCAAACCATCGAGGCATTCGAAAAGGGCTATGAGACAGATTACGTCGTCATACAGCTCGCAATGTCCATGTCTCCGCTCTCCTTTCGAGCTGTTCTCTCGGGCACAGTCGCTTGGCAAGCAGCCAAGACGACTAGTCTTGACTGGTATTCTGCGGCCGGGCCAGGAGTTTACGCTGTCGGCATTGGAGTAAACGGGCGTGGAGGCAGTTTCTTGTCTGCACAGGAAATCCGCCGTCTGGCAGAAGGCATTGACCGGTATTCCGCTGGATACGATGCCTTGCAAACAGCCGCTGGCCAGCGAACCTCGAGTCAACGTCAAGACGTCAGATATCTGCGCAGCGTTGACAATGCCATTTCCAACTGTGTCGCTTCAGCAAAAGGGGGTCGAAGCATCGACAACCCTAGCGAGCAACAGCGCGCACTCTTGTTTTCAGAGAGACTCCGAGAACGCGCCCAGGCCATCGAATCCGTTGATCCGACGGGCCAGACGATCCAAATACAGAGCCCGCTCTACGTTGGATGCTCGGAAAAGCTGGAACAGCGGACTAGAGATTACGTTGCGCCGGTCAATCTCGGCAACATAAACAAGTTGCTGGCTCTGACCCTCAACGTTCTGAAGATGATGAATCTTCCGTCTACCCTCTACGTTCGCCCCGTCATTCGCATCTGGGAGCGACATCAGCTTCCATATGCAGAGCGGCTTGTTGCCACGCTTGCCGAGTCATTGGTGGCGCAAAACGGCTTTAACGCCAGGGAAGCGGGAGGACAGGCTTGCCCGTTCAACCCGAACGCCTTCCAAACCGCCAAATCCGTCGTCTTCTCCGTCAAGCCGTACTTGAAACGGCATATTGATGGGGTTGATACCGTGCTCAAAGACAGGCTGAAATTCATCCAAGAGGTGAAGAGGCTGAGCCAGTACCTGTCCGATCTACAGCAAGAGATTGATGGGACTAGGCAACAACTTCGCAGTTTAATGGCACTCAAGCCGATTGGGTGGACGGCAGGCATCGCAATGCTGCAGACCAAACTGCAAAAGCTCTGTCAGCAGACGGACATGCTGGTGGACTGGAAGGTTCGCATGCAAGCTGTCATCGGCCTTCAAAATGCCATGCTGCCGCCGCCGCCGTCCGCGGGCCATCAATCTGCTGACTCTCAGCCGCCTTTATCGGCAACAGAGGTCAGATGGGTGCCCGCGACTCCCGTTGCTGGCCAGGGGAGACGGCCGCTTCCGCTTTCGTCATCGTCAGTGGTGACTGTGATTCCGCAGACCTCTGACTCTTCATCATTACCCGCGATTGATGAAATGGATGTCGATTGAGCTTGATTGCAGGCAACTTACTTGGAGCGTCTACAATCATTCGACACGACCCTTGCTGTACGTCCGTTGACGATGCCAGGACTGTCGAGCCAGGGGATGATTGAAGGTGGTTGGTCGCGGTCTTCCTTTTTTTTTTTTTTTTAGGAGCAGGGTATAAAACGGGTCTGGAAAAAAGTTCTGTAGTCATTAGTAGTATCAGACAATTTTCTTGTGCCTCCCAAAATAACTTATTTCCGCTGTGTGAACCGATGTTTTCTCGACAAAAATGCTGCTACACCTGGAGGCAGGAAACCCGTCATCCCGCAACACCAAGCCAAGGTAAAGTCGCTGACAACTCGATTAGCCGGGATACGTCGTGGAAATGGGCTCAAAGGGACAGATACCTACGCTGTGTTCTGCCTCGCACGGCACAACAGCCACGCCACGACGAGTCTCTGCCCGTCCAAAGACCATGGTAGTACTCACAAATCGTTTCTTTACTCTCAGGGACAAAGTCTATACGCTACGGTAGCTGAGAAGTGGCCTTTACATGATTGCATCCCTCGCCATCAGTGTAGTTGTCAGGTTTGGCCCGAGTCGCATGCAGAGGGACATGAGATTGTGTTACAACTCTCTTTACACTCGTGGACGGTATATATGGGACTGTACAGAGGAATTTACCATGAGGTCACAAGAGCTCGTCATGTAATAAACAGGTTGTATTGTGAGAAAACTAAAGAGTCAACCAAAAGGAACCGGCGCGATCCACGCCACTTCAAGTATGTCCAGTAAGGACTTGAACGGCTTCCTCATCACAAGCCTTGGCCAGCCTCTTCCCCAGGCGCCACGGCTAGTCCATTTTACAACCTTGCGCCCATTTATAGCCAGACCCGTTGTACATGGGATAGCAATGGACAAAGCTATCCCCGTAAATTCCGCCACGATTAGCGCCGAGCGAACCGCGCGTTAAAAGGGGCGAATTCGCCCATCCTCCTCATCGTCCTCCTCTTCAGGCGATGACGGAGCCTGCCCTTGAGGTTGTGCCTGTACACGGCCCTGAGCATCTTGAGGTCCTGAAGCTTGTCCCTGGATCGTCGGCAGAGCGAGTTGTCTGGTCGAAAGTCCAAACATGTTTCGCGGAGGCCGGGGCGGCCCCGGAAATATCCAAGGAGCCATCATGCGCGACTTAAGATCGTCTAATTGTCCCTGGGTCGATCTCTGTGCCGCTCCCTGGACGGTTGACGGCAAAGCTTGGGGTCTGAATTCGTCCAACTGTCCCTGGATGGATCTCTGGACTTCTTCCTGGATTGATCTCTGGACTTCTTCCTGGATTAATCTCTGGACTTCTTCCTGGATTAATCTCTGAACCTCTCCCTGGTCGGTCAAGGGCAGAGCGCGCGTAGGCGGAATTGTCCCATGAGAGACCATTTCCCCAAGGCGCCTCTCAAACTCCTCATTTGGCCTAACAGTCAACTGTGAAGCTCTTTCTCTTATTGCGCGTCGTAGGTTCTCGGTTATAGCTAAAAACTCCATGTCCTCGTTGTTACCTGCGCTGTTTGTTTGCTGGTTGGAAGACATGATTGTTTTTACGCTATTGGGAGATGTTGGGAGATGTTTGGGACGTTGTCGATGTGTGACGGTTAGAGGAAAAAGTTTTTAAAAAAGGATGCGTTTGCGTTTATTGGGAGAGTAGCCGGTTTATGGAATCTAGTAGCTGGCAGCTGGCAGCTGGTGCCTGTCTAATAAGCTCACATTTCAGCGTTTACTAGCATAAATCCTTGACTACATAAGGGCCAGGCTTGTTTTGTCCGGCAAGACATCGACGGTGTGCATTTGTTATTATAAGAGCATAAAAGTGCTTGCGGCACCAGCGCTTTCACCGCTGTAAAGAACATCTCGTTTATATTATAAGCGAGTATCCTCTGCCTCTGTATAAACAGAGAAAACAAAGACGCTGTCAACGAGTGCGTATCTAAGTTTCTGCTTTGTACTGGGTGTGTTTACAATACATGCTTATAATGTGCTCGCGATACCCGCCCGAGAATACAATCTATTTCGGGCCTTGTATTTGCCGTCTACCAAAATGGCTATTATTCTCCATGAATATATCCCTTCAAGTTGTATTTCCACAACGTAGTCTGTCCAGTCAAGGGGTCCGCGAAATCTCCAAAGCTGATATAAAACACAAAAAGTAGCTACAAGTTGGGTTAAATACACTACAAGTACCAGCCTGGCATCAATTAACGTGCTGTCTCTTATACTTGGACTTGGCAATTATAATATATACTTTTTGTTACTTGTCTTGTACGTCTTGTCTTGATAAGCCTACTATTATATTTTATATAAAAGTATAAATTTATATTATAATTATATAAAGTAATATAAGTGTACTAAAGTATTCTACTATTATCAGTATAAGCCTTAGCTTTATTTTTAACTTATTACATTTTTCTTATATAAAAAGTCTATTATATATAAGCTTATTTACTATATTATATAAATAAATAAAGTATAAATTTATATTATAAGTGTTATATTATATTTATAAATAAGCTGTATAAGTTTTTATATTATACTATTTATAAATAATATATAAATACTAGTATATATGAAGGAATACTTATAATTATTAAATAATATGATAAAGTATATATATATTAGGTGAAATAAGTGTAAATTTAAATTTTAGTTATTAGATAATAAATGAGTTTAAAAGAAAAGTACTTTAAGCTTTTATTTATATATATGTAGCTTTTAATATATATGTAGCTTTTAAAAGCTCTAAATCTATTATAAGTATTTATAATCCTAAAATAAAATAATTAAAAGTTGTATATTAGGTATATAAAAGTGTTAATTTAATAATTTAATAGAATATAATAATATATTATACTTATAATAGTATTTTTATATACTTATTACTTGATGCTATTCTATAATAAAAAGGGCTATCTTATTAATATAAGTCTTAATAAAAGGTAATTTATTTATCTTTTTTACTAGGTTCTTAAAGTATAAATTTAAATATTAATAATATATAATAAAATTAATAAGTTATTATTAGTCTTATAAGGTATTGGAGTTACTAGTAACTAGGTGTAAATTAAATTAATTAAAAGGTCTAAGAAAAGGGAAATTATTGCCCGTATATAGCCCGGTATTATAGCTTTTATAGCTAGTATTATTACCCTAGGTAATTTTTATTATAAGCTGCTTTATAAGCCTAGCTAATAATACTAAAATAGAATAATATTAATTTAACTAATTAGGGTAATTATAAGCTAAAGTAAATTAGTTTAACCAAATAATATTATATTATAGGCTAATAATTATTATAATAATTATAATAATATTTCTATATATATTATATTATATTATTTTTTTTTGATTTATAGTTAATTTACTTTATAATTAAATAAAATTATATATATAATATAAGTATTATATAAGCATAAAATCTAAAATAATATTAGGCTATATTAAGCTAAAAATAATAAGAAACTAAAAAAATAAATTATTTTAGTATAATTAATACCGCGCTATAGCTACTAATTAAGGCTATCTCGCGATAGTTTTAGTTACTATTATTATAAAGGTAAACTAACTTCGCGCCTATAACTTATACTAAAGGCTAATAAGGCTTAAAGGGCAACACAATTAATACCAGATTAAAAGCCTTTTATAGTAAAAAAAATAGCTATTATAAAGCTAAAAATCCTAATTTAATAAAAATTAAAAAAAATAATAAAACTATTAAAAATATAAAAAAAAAGCTTTTAAAAATATAAAGCTAAAATATAACTTTAAAAAAGCTATTATATTAGCTATAAAAAAGCTTAATAAAGCTAATAATACTAAAAGTAAAGCTACTTAATAAATTTATATTAGTAGTTTTACCTCTTTTAGAAGGATATTATATTATTTAATATAAAACTAATATATTAATGTTTTTTAATATTTGGTTGATTTACTTTATAATTAAATAAAATTATATATATAATACTAGTATTATATAAGCGTAAAATCTAAAATAATATTAGGCTATACTAGGCTAAAAATAGTAAAAAACTAAAAAAGTAAACTATTTATATACGTATTATAACGTATTAAACGTACTAGTATAATTAATACCGCGCTATAACCTACTAGTTATAGCTACCTTATAATAGCCTTAGCTATTATTATATAGTTAAACCTTGTATATTATCGTAACTTTACGGCTATAATTCACGCTAAGTTATACTAAAAACCTAAAATACCTATATATATAGTATATTTATAAGGTCTTTCTTGTATTCTAAGTTAATTTTATATCTAAGTTATTTACCTTTTTTGCTATTAAGACCTAATATAACTAATTATAAGTTACTGCCCCTATATATATATATCTCCTATAAGCACTGTAACCGCTTGCTTACTAACATCTATTATAGCTATTTATAAACTATTATACACAAAGTACACACCTGTTAACGTGAGCCCTTACAGAACAAGATTAACCGGACTAGCTTACCAATAATAACAAGATAACTAAGCATAATAAGCTACTAAACAAGCCTAATACAAGTAGGTTGCCTATTATAACCTTTAAGGGTTAAAGCTAATAAGGCCTAGTAAGTAATATAGCTATTAATAAATTAAAAGCCTTTTATAATAAAAGGAATACTTATTTTAAGGCCAAAAATCCTGATTTTATAGAAATTAAAAAGGTTATAAAAATAATTAAGAATTTAAAAAAAAAGGCCTTTAAAAACGCTGAACTAAAGTATAATACTAAGAAAGCTATAAAACTAGCTATAAAAGGGGCTAATTATAACAGCTAAGGTTCCTAAGGGATAAACTAGTTATAGTTTATATTAGCAGAATAACTAGAGTAATTAATCTAAGTAGTTAAGTATTATATTAGTAATAAGTTATAAATTATAATTAAGTAATTAAAATTAAAAAGTTATAAGTAAAGCTTATTTAATATAATAATTTATATTAAAAGCTAAGAAGCTAGAATTTATTTATAAAGAAAAAAAATTATAATAATTATATAATTTATTATATAAGGTTAATTAAGTAAATTAAAACTTAATTCCCTTAATTTTTATACCTATTAAAGTAATTAAATTTTAAATACTTTAATTACTTATATACTTAATTCTACTAGGGTTTTATTATTAATAGTTACTATTATAAAGTGGCTTATATAGCTGGCTTATTCTATAACTTATATTATAGCTTATAGCTGGGTTATAATATAATATCCCTTCTTTTATAGTTTTATTTTTAAAGCTTAAGCTATATTTTATAATAAATATCTTATAAGTTTTTTCTTCCTTTATTATTACTTTTTATAATACCCTCTTAATATTATATCTAGTTATGTCTTTAAAAATAAGCTAAAAGCTAAATCCTTAATCTATTATAATAATCTTTTCTTTATAATTCTAAATAACTTATTCTCCCTTAATATACCTTTTTACTCTTACTATCTGGCTTATAAATAATCTTTTTACTAAGTATTTCTTATTAATTCTTCTTATTATATAAAGTATATTTATAACTATTAGTTTTATTATAATATTTTAAGCGTTTCTTCTTCTTAGTTATAATTTATTACTACCTAATATTCTAAGCTTAAGTAGGAGTTAAAGGAGGTAAAAAAAAGAGCCTTAGCTAAATAATAATAAGTATTTTATCTAAGAAAATAAAAGAAAATATAGTTTAAGAAAAT